CCTCGGGCATGAGGTTGGTGCACTCGACCTCCAGCAGCTTGTCGGCGAACACGAAGTGGCGGCGCCAGAACTGCAGCAGGTTGCTCTTGAGCGCGCAGGCCGGCGGACCGAAGTCGTAGAAGCCGCCCACGCCGCCTTAGATCTCGAAGCTCGGCACCACGAACATCTTGCACAGCATTTCTTGTCGCTCTTGATGAGTTCATCCTCGGCGGGGCTCTGCAGCGCTGTCTGCATCTCCATTGGAGACTGTGTAGCCCCAGCTGTAGCGTCTTGAGCTTGTCCACGACGGCCTTGCACTTACAAGACAGAACGGGGAAAACCTTGATATCGAATCTAAACGCTCGTGACCAAAACTATAAAAAGTCACCGTTGCATTAATCGCAGTCCAATTGGACATAATACTTACTATTTCATCCAATTATCTACGCTTTGCTGCCGCTAGAACTGGATAACCCATGCTCATATTATATCATTTTACATTAACTTGTAAGGAATAACTCGTAGAAATGGATATTGTTATAATCCGCTAGAATCCGGATTATCCGGATTCAAGTCGGTTGTATCCGGTTGTCCAATCCGGATTCCGGATGCAACCGGTTTACATTCTCTACTACCAGGTGGGGCAATCTGGTTTGTGATCCCCAATTTGTAACTGGGCTCGCTCCGTTAACCCCTCAACGCCCACACGTTGTGCATACAAAGAAACATGTTTACATACAACATGTTAAACCATGGGAGAATTAGCTGCATAAGTCAGACCTTCCTGCAACGCCTAGGGGCTGGGTTTGTCGGACCAGATTACGGGGTGTTAACGGATATAAAACGATACAATGCGTGCTAGTGGCGATGCTGTAGCTATGTCGATTGGTGTTAGAGTAAGAGGAAACCGCTACGAAATCTATAGCAATCCTATTGCTTGACGTTTGACAGAACAGCCACTGGCCACTAATCCCAAATTCCTTATGATGTTGTATCTAAACCATTATCATTTACACCATGTGCATGCAGTTTGTACAACATGGCAAACGGTTTGGCGAAATGCTCACGTCGCCATTGTGCACAGTCGGTACTCGAACTTAATCGAGACTATAGTAAAGTAAGCGTTGCGCTACTTTAACATGCTGCGCGACTAACATGTTGGACGAGTATCGTTACATAAAATAAAACAGGTGAAAAGCAGCTTAGCGCTGAGGGGTTAACAACATTCTTTAGCTTTTTTTGCGCTAGTCGCCTCTGAAGCAGCTTCGATCGCAGATTATTAAGAAAATTACGTGTATTGTATCTTTTATAAATCTACCTTCGACTGTAGTGATTAAATAGCCCAAGCGCGGGGCAGTGTGGTTCGTTGGTCCCGGAGCATGCTGAGGAGGTTGCTACCGGCCGTGGTGCACGTCGGATAGCTCATCAACTTGGCTTTTTTTTCTTTTCGCACTCCATCCTGCTCTCAAGTCTGTGCACGAAGATGCGCTTGTGTCAATAGTGTGACATCCTTTTGGGCGAACTATTAGTACGTGCGAAGCAACGGCTATCTATTACCGTGTCGTGCAGGTGATTACGCGCACAAGGCACGCGCTCTGATAGCTCGACCACGTTGTTTGTGCAAGTGCAAGTTGTCGACTCAACAATCGGCCATCAGCAGAGCCTCTACGACGCCTTCATGGCGCCCAACACGTTGAGTAGGAAGTCGCTAGCGCTAACCGCTCAAACAATTCTTAGTTTACAATCTACTCAACCCCGCTCAAGTGCCTCATCGCCTCACGCGAGAGGCACGGCATGCCTCTTCTGGGGGACGGTTTCCTATATATAGTCCGGTTAAGACCTCGGTTGGGCCTCATACCCCCCCCCCCCGCGGTGCTGCTCCTTACGTGAGCGCCTTGGCTATCCAGTGGATCTCAACTCGGCACGCGTGATTGCTGAAGGTTTTGGCCAACTCCCTTGCCGTCATTGAAATGGCATTAGCAGAAGATTAGAGTGTGGCTAAGATCCTGTCAGGTTTCCAATCTTCTAACTTATCCGCGACAACGCCGTCTATACCGTATAGCTAATGTCATATCCAGCAAAATGTCATATCCGACAGTGGAATCTACCCAATCATAATCGAGTATTTTGTCAGTACGCAATCACCCCAAATGCAACTGTTGTATCCGACACCAACCTGGTGCTCATTAATTCAGGGCGAGTTTCAATAGCAACGTGCTGGGGTGCGTTTCCTTTCTTAATAAACGATGGGAGGTGGCCGTGTAGCAATATTTGAGCTAGGGAACGCACTACAACTGCGACAGTCTACGTTCTCGTATGTGATTATCATGTTTTCAAGGTAGACTTCGTAC